TTCTATCACCCTCTCATCTACAATAAGTTTATTAATCGCATTTTGTTTCTTTCTTTTCCTAAGCTGCCATGCAAGTAGCTTCCCCATTTTATTAGCCGACTCAAAATATTTCTGTCTTGTAAATTTAATTTTCTGTTCTACCTCTTGATTCAAAATGGCTGAGTATTGGGACTGCAGCACCCTCGCCGCTTGATTAATCGTTTCATCTGTTGGATTTAGGGCCAGTTTCCTTTCATAATCTCTCAATTGGGCCAAAATACCTTCCTTCCTTTTTCTCCCTTAACTTCTTTCTATAGCTATTTTGCTGTATCAAAAGGCCCCTTAAGACTGCCTTACCGGCATCCCATACCACCTCTATTGGGGTGTCTCTATTCAAGTTTATCTCCAGATACTCTCTCAAGGTTTTTTTGGCCTTATCCAGCACTTCCTCATTCTCAAATAAATATTCATTCATCCTCCACCTGGGTTGCCCTTTCAATTCATTTTTAATTTCCAGAGTCAAGGGGCAGTGATCTGACAGGGTCCTGGGTAGTATCTCACATCTCTTAACTCTCCATACCATAGCCCTAGTTACCCATATCTGATCGATCCTGCCCCAGCTCTGGTGGGGCTCTGAATAATGAGTAAACTGTTTGGTGGTGGGATTTCGGTGCCTCCAGATATCAATTAGATCTAATTTTCCACTAACTCATTAAAGACGTTAGGGAGCTTCCCCCTGTTTGCGTTCCTCTGGTTCTCACTTCTATCCAGACTTGGTGTTGATACCCCGTTCCAGTCTCCCAATATAATTAACTTATAAGGTTCCAGTTCCATCAGCATGCTTTCAAGTTTTTCAAAGAATTCTGTTCTATTTGGAATTCGGTGCATATACCGACACTACGTTAATTCTTTCCCCTCGGAAATTTAATTGAATACCTAGTATTCTACCTTCCTCGTCTTTACAAATTTGTATTGGTTCCCACCTTTCTTTGGCGTATATTACCACTCCTTTTTTTTTTTTACGTCCGAATTTACAAATTCTACTCCCAACTTTTTATTCACCAAAATATGTCTATGTCTCTTTGCAATATGGGTTTCCTGAAAACAGATTACATCACATTTCTTATTTCTCAAAGCTTTTTGAATTTTATTCCTTTTAACTTTCTCATTCAACCCATTCACGTTCCATGATAAAAATTTTAAAGTGTCCAGTATTGTCTTAGCTCTCCAACTACTTTACCTCAAGTCAAAACACGGATTAAAATCTGGCGCCTTTATTTCCTAGGAGCCCCTCCTCTTCAGCCGCCCCTTCTCCCACTGCGGCTTCTTCATCTTCATCTCCTGAGTTTAACCCCCTCTCTCCTTGGTCTTTCGCGCTCCCCTCCCCCTCCTCCTCCTTTTCTCGACCATTCCCTTTCACCTCTTCCCTGTCTCGCACTCTATACTCTGTCCTTCCCCGCTCTCTTTCGTATCTTCTCAAAAACTTCTCTGTTTCCTGTATGTCCGTCAGTTTGAATTTCTTATCTTTATAGAAGAAAGTAATCCCCTCAGGGAATTCCCACCTAAATTGTATTCCGTTTCTCCTTAAGACAGCTACCACTTGTCTGTAGCCCTCTCTTTTTCTTAATAATCTAATTGGAATCTCTTTATAAATAATGATGTGCCTGCCTTCGATTCTGAGTTTGTTACGATAGCTCGTCCTTAGAATTAGATTTCTCATTTCTAAGGAGTTGAATATCACCAAGCAGTCTCCCAAAAATTTATTAATTTTTAGGTGTTGTGGTCTAGACATTCTAAATGCGTTATCTATTGTTAGTGCTATCTCTTTTTCTTCCAAACCCAGCCATTTAGAGAGCTCCTTAATCATTTTCTTTCTAACATCCTCATTTCTTTCTTCTGCCACACCTCTAAATTTTAAGTGAAGCTGCTTTTGTCGCATGTCAGCCATGGCGAGGTTGTCCCAAATCCTATCCTGTGCCTTATTTAACTCACCCAACTCTTCCCTCATCCTCCCTGTTTCTTTTTTCTGTTCCCTCATTTCTTTCTGTAATTTCTTGTTAGACTCCTCAATTATCTTAGATTTTACTGACAGGTCTTGAATTTTGGATGAGAGCTCTCCTACTGCCTCTTCTATTTTTTTATCGATCAGGTCTTGCATATCCCCTAGCTTATTTTCTATATATGTTTCGTTTTGTTTAAATTCTTCCTTTATTTTAATCCATAAGCTATCTAGATCTTTAATCTCCTCTTGGCGTGATGTCTTTCTTTCCCCCGGGGTCCCGCCCACTTTCTTTGAATCCTTCCCCTCCTTCCCCATCATTATATGTGACGCACCCCCTTTATTCACCGTTAATTTCTTCTTATAATCCTTTTTTTTTTTTTTTAACCTGTAATCCTAACCTTTCCTCCTTTCCTCTCAAAGAGCGCCTACCGGGGTAGTGTATATTATATCTAGTCTAGCTACGTCATATATCCATACAAACACATATAAGCCCCGGGAGAGCAGCAGTTCCACGATATGCTCTTTAAAAACCCTGGGGGGGGGGTCTTGATCCAAAGGCATCAATTAGTCCGCTCCGGGCCTTGACTTTTTCTTTTACTTCTCTCAATCCTCCCCTCGGATCCTTTGCCTACCCTCACCTGCGTCACACCCAGCACCCAGCACCTAAGAGAAGGGTGAAGGAAGGGGAAGGATTGAGGGTAGGGGAGGGGTGGGGTGGCTAATTAGAGACGTAGTTGTATTAAAGACGTAGTTGTCCTACACAGCTTCTTGTCCTATACATTCAAATTTAGTCCTAATTAGTTTACTCCCGACACTTCAGGAACTTCAGGAGCTTCCGACACTTCAGGAACTTCAGACACTTTAAACACTTTACGCACTATGGTCTCCTCTCACCAAGGGGTTGCAGCCCCGGTGGTGGTCACCGTTGCAGTCCCGGTTGCAGTCTAAGCTCCCACTCAGAGTTGCATACCTCTTCAGCCCCTCACAAGTCAGGCCCAGTCATAAAAAGAGCTCTGTACAGTTGGTTTACTCCGTGTCCAGCTTCCTCCACCAAGAGCCCGCTGCTTAAAATAGCAATCTGGCCAGCTGTTACTGTCGCTGCATGGGGCGTCTTTGATATATCTCAGGCCGCAAACCGAGTATCGGGCCCCTGCCGCACCTCCCTTGGCGTGTTTTCACCAGCCTTTTTCTAAATAAATATCCTTAAGGGAGGTGGGTAGCGTTGGAGGATCGAGGAAGTTCGGCGACGAAGCCGAGACAGAACCTCTCCGGGGGACTTGAAAGAGCGTTAGTCACAGTCTATGCCCCAGAATTGGCGTTATACTTATTTAATAAAATCATTGAAAATCATTGTTGTCCGTATTTACTATCAGTTCGGCTCTTACTCACTCAGTCAGACTATTTACTAACCTCCTCACTCCTGCGACTCCCCTTCTGCGCCATCTTGTCTCCGCTGCCGAGGAAAATCCCGTAGGTAAGCAAACAAAGGAAAACCTGGGCGTCTCCAAGCTTCGCGTCAGCTGCGCGCTTATATAGTAAGCACTTCAAACAAAAAAAAAGGCTTTTTCACGCTGGAGACCCCGTTCTTATCTCCAAGGGGTCCCGACGCTATTCGCGGTTGAAGCTCTGGGCGTCTCGCTGTGGGATGGCACTTCCCAGTTTGCGCTGGCGGTCGCCGTTCTCACGTTCCTCTCTGTCTTTTCCAGAGGGGGTAGGTCGACCGCGTCCACGCTGCAGGTGGCCTCTCCCCCAAGGGTTTCCCCCCTGAGGTTTCGGGGTACGCTGCGCCCTTGCGTCTTTCCCCACGTTCCCACAGCGCCCAGAAAGCCGAGAGCTGGCTTTCTGTGCTTCCTCACTGCTCGCGTCCGGAACCGGAAGTCCTTTACTTGATGTTTCAATGTGTTGTCTTTTTCCTTTGGCGGCAGCGGGAGGCCCCATTAGCTAAAGTGGTACCTCAGGTGAAGAACAGTTTCAGGTTAAGAACGGACCTCTGGAACAAATTAAGTTCTTAACCCGAGGTACCACTGTATTTTTATTTAAAATATTAAGCAGTATAGAAATGAAATTAAAAATAACTGCAATGCCCTGTGGTGCCCACCCCCCTGTCAGCTTGGTGCCCAGTGCAGGGCCGTATTTAGGTTTGATGAGGCCCTAAGCACTACTGAAGGTAATGGGGCCCTTTATATGTCCAGCTGTCCTCTGTCAACAACAAATTGTCGCTGTTTTTTGTGCTGAATATATGCTGTACGGTAATTTATGGACCTATTAGGTATCTAAAGCCATTTGCACATAACAAAATATGTACATCATAGGAGCCAACACAACATGAAACACTGTTGCTGTATGTAGGTTTTATTTTATTTGTTTTTTTAATCTTATATTTTGGAAATGTACATCCAGGTTTTTTTCCTTTAATTTTTTTGGAGCCCCCAAGAGAGTGGGGCCCTAAGCTATAGCTTGTTTAGCTTATACGGAAATCCGGCACTGGAAGCACAAGCTTAACTGATATAGTGGTACCTCGGGTTAAGTACTGAATTCGTTCCGGAGGTCCGTTCTTAACCTGAAACTGTTCTTAACCTGAAGCACCACTTTAGCTAATGGGGCTTCCTGCCGCCGCCGCCCGATTTCTGTTCTCATCCTGAAGCAAAGTTCTTAACCCGAGGTAATATTTCTGGGTTAGAAGACTGTAACCTGAAGCGTATGTAACCTGAAGCGTATGTAACCTGAGGCACCACTGTACTTTAAATTTGCCTCTGCCCCAGGCCTTTCCCCCTTAATAATTAATTAAACAATTTCTAGCCTTTAAAACTGGGGGTTTATTGTTTCTATTTGTTTCTGTTTGTTGTTATGCTTTGTTTCCATTGTAAACCGCCCTGTGATTCTCGGGTGAAGGAAGGTATAGAAATTAATAACAACAACAACAACAACTCTTGCATTGGACAAACGCTTGGATTTTGCTTCGGAACATAAACTCGCGTGTATAAGACAGAGCCTTTCAGTGGCTCCAGTCACCCGAGGAAATACGAGGAAATATATATATATATTAAAGTGAAAAAGAGAAGCGAGTGAAACTAGAGAGGGTCCGGGAACAGAAGGCGGGGAAGGGGAAGGAGGGAGAGAAAGGGGGGAAAGCAGAAGAGGAGGAGAGAGCGGCAGCGCGCACAAGGCGAGCGCAGCCGGGACCAGAGAGCGCCGCTGGGTCGCCGCGCCAGGCCGAGCGATGGGGTGGCGCGTGGCGGGAATCCCTCCGGCGGCGGCGCTGTGGCTGCTCTTGGTGGCCTGCGCGGGGGCGCCGCTGTTGGCGCTGGCGCAGCCGTCCAAGGTGTCTCGCGGCGTCGCCGTGCCCTTCGTCTTCGACCCGCGCGCCGTGTGCGCCGCCCCGCCTTGCCAGCACGGGGGCCTGTGCATCCGGAACGGCACCTGCTTCTGCTCCAGGGGCTACGAGGGCGAGCGCTGCCAGTATGGTGGGTAGAACGGGTAGAAGAGCGGGTGGTGGCCATAACAAGTGTGGGGAGGGAAGCCCCCTTCCCGTGCATTGCTGGACCTGAGATGTATGTTTTCAGGACCCAACCACGTTCCTGTGACTATCAGTGCTAAATTTTAAATTGCTGTAAGCCGCCCTGGGATCTTGCTGGGAAAGTGCCAGTAATAAATGTAACCCTCGTCACTCTGGCGCAGGTTTGTAGCTAATCTCTCCTGCCTCTCTGCACCAGCCTTCCTTCGGGGGCTGCCCATCCGAAGGGATGGAGGAGCGACCCTCTGGGAGGAGGCAGATCAGAGAGCCCTCTGGGGCGAGGTGGCAAGCTTCTTTACGGTCCCATTGTTTTCTTGGAATTAGTTTTGGGAGTTTTACTTCGAAGTCAAACGGCAGTCCTCTGCATGCACGTTTACCTGAGAGAAATGCATGGGTGTTGGGTATTCCAGATTATAAATACGCAGGAAAGGGGTTAGTGCACATTCAGGATCGAAGGTTTGCTGCCCGATCCTATCGTTTACTTGGAAGCCCCGTCGATTTCTGGCTGTCAAGTCAAGACGTCAAGTCCAGGGAAGCTAACACTACAGTAAGGCTGCAATCCTAAACCCAGGAGTAAAGCATCATTGGGCACAACGGGACCTTATTTTGAGTAAACATGAGTAGGATTGAGCACTGCACTTCTGTTAATCTCCTAAAGATTCCTGCCACAAAGCTCATGTTTTGTGTCTGCTGTGAAAGTTGACGGCCTGGAGTTTGTCAGCATTGATTTCATTGGTTCCGCTTGTTCCCAAGAAAGTGTCTGTGGGATTGCAGTCATGAGAACAAAGAGCATTTTGGCTTCAGCAAGAGATTCTTCTTACTGAAAGCAAGATCTTGCTTGGCTGACAAGCCCCGCCTCAATTCTTATACTGAAGTTATTTACAGGAATCCTTTTGTGACTGTGGAGGAAGATGTAACCCAAGTATTCATCTGGTGGGAATAATGTGCTTGGGTGTTCTGCTTGCAAATCTCCTATTTTCCAGCATTAGGGGAAATGTTTGAGCAGGGAATCTAAAAAAGAAGAAATACTGGCCCTACTTTGTGTAATGTTTTTGTCCTCCTGAAAGTCCCAGATCCCAAGTAATAGGCGGAGGGGGGAGATATGGGGGTGGAGCACACTTCAGGGACTTTCTGTGGTCCTTTCCTAAAGATTGAGCTTGTTTAAAAGTAGGTAGGTCTCTAGCCCTTGTAGAAACTTTTAGAGAAACAAGGAAGAACTCAGCGACAGTATGCTCTCCAGCTGATCCCTGCGCACCAAAGGTGTTCCTGCCTTCTGGTGTTCTGACCAATGAGTGCAAAGGCATGGGGACAATTGACAAGTGCTGGGGCATCTAGGGAATATTGCATGGATTGTGAATGGAGAAACTTTGACAAACTTTGTGGACAAACATCCAGGAGCCACCTATCAGTGGTGAGTGGAGCCTGGTGCAAAAGTGGACGTGATTCTTACCCAGAGCTTTCCAAACTGTGTGCCACGACACATTAGTGTGTCGGCTGCAGTGTGTAGGTGTGTCACACAAACACTCCCCACACTCCTCCCGGGGCTGGAAAGGGTTAGTTTAACCTCTGGTTTGCTAGTAAAGCTGAATTACTGTGTCATGAAATCATGCAAAACTGAATTAAAGGTAAAGGTAAAGGTACCCCTGCCCGTACGGGCCAGTCTTGCCAGACTCTAGGGTTGTGCGCCCATCTCACTCAAGAGGCCGGGGGCCAGCGCTGTCCGGAGACACTTCCGGGTCATGTGGGCAGCGTGACAAGCTGCATCTGGCGAGCCAGAGCCACACACGGAAACGCCGTTTACCTTCCCGCTAGTAAGCGGTCCCTATTTATCTACTTGCACCCGGGGGTGCTTTTGAACTGCTAGGTTGGCAGGCGCTGGGACCGAACAACAGGAGCGCACCCCGCCGCGGGGATTCGAACCGCCGACCTTTCGATCGGCAAGCCCTAGGTGCTGAGGCTTTTACCCACAGCGCCACCCGCGTCCTGCCCAAAACTGAATTACTGTGTCGCAAAATGATGCACTTCCAAAAAGTGTGTCACCAACTTGAAAAGTTCGGAAAGCTCTGCTCTTATCTTCGTACTGTAGGTTGCGTTCTAGCTGTACAAATTCAGATGTTTCTACAGACACCTGTTACATCTCTCTCCATCTTAGTTCTGGCAGGCAAGAGGCATTGCCATCGTTCAAGGAAGGACGAATTCCAGCCAGGCAAAAGCACTCAAGGACGGTGTGCCCCAGAGAGAGCTTTGAGGGCCAGTAGAGAGACCTAGAGGAACCAGGCCTGAGGTTCCCCACCCCTGCACTAAGTCCTTATTTCTAATGTAGCAAAATGTTTTTAAAAATTGAATTAACATTTTATTAATTCATTTTATTTACTTTTATGGGCTGCCCAGTAACAAAAGTTCTCAGGGTGGTTTATGATGGCATATTTGTGTGCTCTGGCTGTACTGTGGTGATTCCCTCCTGCTTTAGGCTTCCTCACCAAAAACCTTCAAGACCTCAGGATTCAGTCTGAGATATAGGTAAGTTGAGTAATACCTGAAGATAGTGAGGACATGGTGCTCTAAGCCTCAAGGCTAGAAGCAAAGAAGATGAAGGGTTGCAAAGGAGATGAAGGGTAGGGTTGCCAAATTTCAAACAGTGAAAATCCATACAGAAAAGCTGTTGAGCAAAAAAATACCATTTTTTAATGAAAAACGGCACTGCCGACATGGGCTGTTATACATCCAGATTTCCCCTGACATTTTTTACCGATTTTCACCCAATCACTGCTGCTGACTCCAGTGTCCCTGATATGTCCGCGAAATCCAGTACATATGGCAACCCTATGAATAGGCCCAGTCTGTCCCTCAAAACTCAACAATCTGTGGAGGCCATTTTAATATTTTGCCAAACATAGCCTAAGGTCAATGCTTGTTTGTTAATTTGTTTTGACATTTACACTCCATCTTTTATGATTTAACTCAAACTCAATGAAATTCAATTTGATTATGAATTAAATTTCAACTTAAAATTATAAATCACAACAAGTTTCAAGCAATCCTAATACTTAAATGAAACATCTGGAAGAATGGCATCAGAAAATCAGCCATCAACAACTGACAGAAAACAACACCAGTGGCTTATGCTGCCAGTGGCTTTAACTATAATATGCCTGCCAGAATACAGTCTTGGGAAAATGTATAAAAGTAGACACCTTTATTGATACAGCCAGTATAATGAAAGGAGATTATACCAATTAATCAGGTATAGTTATGTCTGGGGTGGAAAGCTACTTATAAGGATTATCACAAGAGGGGGTCGAATATGAAGAATCTTTTATTTGCATAATTGAATTAGGAATAGTTCTTTGGAGAATCAAATGCATATCACTCTCTATTAGTAAAGTGAATAGTTAGCATGTAGCTACTCTGGGTATTAAAGTGGGTGGGTCCCTGAAGATGGGAAGAAACAAAACCCCTCCAAGTATGCAAACAAATCTTACTTTTAAAAAAAGAAAGTCCAACTTTTACTTTAAAACCCAGGTTACAGAGCTTCTACTACCACCCTATATCCATGGATTCCAGTGTGGTTCACAACGTAAAATCACAATATAAAAAACAGAAAATAAATTTTAAAAATAGGAAAAAATACATAATGAATATGTATTTATTTGTATATAAATAAATAAATATGTATATGCCTAATATGTACATGCATTTAATAAATAATGATACATTTAAAAGTCCATAAACTGTTTAATTAGCACAAGGCCTGGGAAAAGAGGAAGGTTTTTGTCTGGTGCCTGAAGGTGCTAGGAGAGGCTCCCTGGGGAGAGCATTTCACAAGTGGGGAGCCACTGCAGAAAAGGCCCCTTCTCATGTTGCCACCCTCCGGAGCCACCTTCATGGAGGAGGTACACAAAGAGTGGCCTCAGATGATGATCACAGGGGCCAGGTCAGTTCATATGGGGAGAGGCAGTCCTTGAGGGACTGCAGTATTTTGTTGAACATTTGAACAAGTTTTAAAATACTAATAAATGCTTACTGTGACCTTTAAAAAATATTTCAAGGATTTAATAATAGTTTTGAAAACACTACAAAATGGAGAAAAAAGAATGGTAGCATTGGACTACTTATGGGCAATACTTATTGCAATGCGCTGAAATATTTTTTTCTGCTCTTCTTCATTCATGAACAATGATTTAAATAATTCTTGCTCACGTACTTTTTTGAGAAGTGTTTCTTTTTGTGATAAGCTGTTAATGTTTGCCATTCATTATTTTTTTGTTAAAGTGCACATCTTTTTATTATTTTTAAAAATTGCCATTTCCAACATTTAATTTGTGCGTTCAGAGACCAGAACCGTCATCACACATTATAGACTGCTGCCGGTAAATTCCTGGTGATCACCTGAATCTCAATTTAATCCATAATGCAAGTCCAGAGGAAAACCTGAAAATGTTCTATTGAAAATTGTTTGCAGATAGCAAATACATCGAAATCGGGATTGGCTCATGAATGATTTATTAGCCAAGAACTAGCTAAACTTGTCAGATAATTTGTTTGCACAAAATCATCGAAGCAGCCGTATGCCAAAATGTGCAATTTCCCAGTTATTTATTTGTCCATCGTGCAGGCACATCTTGTAGCTGCCACAAAGAATTCCCCTAGAATCCACAAGGAATACTGTCTCCTCAGCAGGTTTTCATTTTAAGCCCATATTTAGCATGGATGAAAACTTAAGAAAATGCTGTTTGCTGTAAGGAAAACTATTCGTGAAGAAGCTGATTAATCACTGGGAAAGGCTGGTGAAAGGGGTGGGGTGCGGTGATGAGAAAAATGGTTGTTTGAGGACATGATCAGTTTTAACTGTAGAAAGATTTGCAGTTGTGTTGTGCAGTTCCACATGGCTTCCAACCATAAATCAAAAACTTAAGAGCTCAGATGAAGTTAGATGTGGGTTCACAGCTGCTCCCAGAACTGTCCTGAATAACCAGGCAGTCTAAGGACCCGTGATATTCCCAATGGATTATTAGCACCAATAAAACTTTAGAACCAACTACAGTCGTACCTTGGAAGTTGAATCTCCAGCAGCCAATCGGAAGCTGCAGAAATCGCGATGGACATTCGGGTTCCAAAGAATGTTTGCAAACCAGAACAATCACTTCCGGGTTTGCGGCGTTTGGGACCCAAAACGTTCGACTCGCAAGTTGTTTGAGATCCAAGGTACGACTGTAGTTCCTTTTAGATAGACCTGCGTAATTGTGTATTGCCCAGATCAGTGCAAGGGGTAACAATGAATGAATGAATGAAATCTGCTTTTTGAAACGCACCTTTACATCTTAAATAAGAAGCTATTCATTAAGCAAAATGGGCACTACTCAGAAAGAAGCATGCCAGAAAATAAATGATCATATTATTAGTGTTACCGAAATGATAAACTCGCTGATTCAGGGAGAATCAATCAGGTGTTCAAGAATAAAGGGAGGGAGGGAGTTAACTTTATGCAGACTGAGTGCTCGCTTCTGTCATATCTACCAGTACACCCAGCACTAACTTCAAAGGGACTTCAAGAGCTAAACCTGTCCCATCATCCTTTGACCAGTGAGATAGGAGTGATTCATTTATACTATTTCTGTAGCCATGTTGTACTGTTACATTTGCACCAATGTTCATCTGGATTAGCTCTTAATCAGAGTTGAAAAGCAAAGCATTTCCCATTACTGTAGCTCTTCTCTTTTGCCTCTGGTTTAGCTATTGAGGAATAGCTAATCTATTGAAGAATAGCTATTGAAGAATAGCATGACCCTTTGCTTTGGAGATTGGATTTGGTTCAGGGTCATCCTGTCACAAGTTCTTTTCATATAGCATTTGAGAGCTAATTAATATAATCAGTTGTGGTGGTTGTTATCAGATGACAAGCTTTGCTCCTATCACTGGGCAGCAAACAGTATTTAACATGATAAGAAAGTTCAGTCTTCATTATAGCCATTTCACAAACCAAATTACTGGTAGTAGATTATATTTACCATTACTGAATGTACAGCATGCAATCATATGAATTGCTGCCCAGTTTACTGGGCCCAGGCAAATGTATGAATTACCGTATTTTTCGCTCTATAAGACGCACCAGACCATAAGACGCACCTAGTTTTTGGAGGAGGAAAACAAGAAAAAAAATATTCTGAATCTCAGAAGCCAGAACAACAAGAGGGATCACTGTGCAGCGAAAGCAGCGATCCCTCTTGCTGTTCTGGCTTCTGGGATAGCTGCGCAGCCTGCATTCGCTCCATAAGACGCACACACATTTCCCCTTAGTTTTTAGGAGGGAAAAAGTGAGTCTTATAGAGCAAAAAATACGGTAACTGGTAGGCTCCTTTAAGGAGTAGGGTGCTTTTGAGTAGACTGTTCCCAACCCCGAAGCCCAGAAATGTCTCATCTAACTTTCTTTGTCCCTTTCTTTTGGTTCATAGCAACTTGTTATCCGAAATGTAAAAATGGCGGGAAATGCCTCAGGCCTGGAAAATGCAGGTGTCAGCCTGGCTATGGAGGACGATACTGTCATAAAGGTAAGTTGAATTTGGACAGTTTTCAAATTGTAGCAAAGAGTGGGGGAATAGTCTAAAACCATTGCACTTGTAGTCCAAAACTTTTCGGAGGGTACTAGGTTGGTCAGGACTGCAATACAGACATGGTATAATGTGTCTGGAACTCTTATATATTGAGATTAATATTTGATTACTATTTGCATTTCTGGATCTGTCGTGCAGTCGCTTTGAGTGTTTCACTTTGAGGCAGAAAGTCAGGACAGCAGCGTTTTCCATAAATAACAATAAGCAGGTATAACGTCATCGTAAACAAATGAGCATGAAATTTCCACCTATATGCCTCAACTCCATTCTAGAATTGTTGCTTGGAAGAGGCAACGTTTATGCAACAAAACACCCTTGCTATAATGCTGTTCTTGGCTTGCTTTGTGACTGTGCTGTTTCCTTCCAGTAAGCTGCGAGGGAGGTTGTCAAAACGGTGGCGAGTGCATCTCGGTCAACGGGCTGGTCAAGTGTCTTTGTGCTTCAGGCTGGACCGGATCAAGATGCCAAGAAGGTAAAAAATCTTCACTTCGTTAGTTATTGTGTTTCAGTCCCACTCTTCTTTCAACTTGGAGTTTTCCCCATTTTATTGTTGAAACAATCGGTATAACTAGATTAGGCCGAGAGAGAGAGAGAGAGATTTGTTCAGGGTTGCTCAGTAACTTTTATGGCTGAATGGGGATCTGAATTCAGGTCTCCTGTTCCAAGCTGAACTTTTCCCACTACGGTATGCAAGTTATCTAACTCCTGGCAGAGGAGAGGAGAGAAGATCTCAACTGGTGCTTGGATGCAGTTCATTAAAATATATCCAGTGTGTTACAGGGGCAAATCGCCTTATATGATTCTGCACGGAGGGGTTCCTCCTACTCTTTCTCCCCCAAAAATCACTGTCAGAGCTAACACAGTTTACCCTCTGTTCAAGAGGTAACCGTTTCTGAGAATGACAGCTAAAGCCACTGCTCTCAATCTGTCAGTTTCATGCAAAGGTAGAATGTGGTCACTTTTAATGATGCCACTGTTTTGTTCTGGTCTGAGGGAGGAAATATCCCCCCCCCCTTAAACCAGGGATGCCTAACCTATGGGCTTCTGAATGTTGCAGAACTACAACTCCCATCAGCCTCACCCAGCATGGTGAATGGCCACGGGTGATGAGAGTTGTAGTTTGGCAACATCTGTAAGACCCCTGCTTTAAACATTCTCTAATGCTCTACAGTGGGGATGGGGAGATCTCATCATCACCCCTTCAGATGTTGGTGGACTACAGTTCCCATCATCCCTGACCACTGGCCATGTTGGCTGGGGCTGATAGACTCCAGCAACATCTGGAGGACCATAGGTGTCCCCACCCCCTGCCTCCCCAGCTCTACAGTATAATATTGAGAGACCGAGATAGATGACTTTGCTTTATTGTTCTTTTGTTGCAGCGGTTTGTCCTCAGGGATGTCGGAATGGAGCAACTTGCGTCGCTCCTGGAATCTGCAGCTGTGCAACTGGCTGGGTTGGTGGCGCCTGTCATTTAGGTGAGTTACATATCTTTTAGAGGAGCTTTCGAGCCTCTTGAATGAAACGCCTAAAAGCTGACAAGATCATTGTGACACCCGCAAGAGCTACAAGGTCTTTGCAGAGGCATATGAACTGCACCCAGCTTCCCACCCTCCTCTCCTATCTCATGCATGTACTATCCCCTCATCTAAATATGAACAGATTGATGCAGATAGGAAATATTGCATGAGTTGTTAATTTTGTACTGGGATATAGCTGACCTGAACAGTTGCTGGCGTGTACTTGGCAGTTCATTAACTGTACCTGCCTTCGGTCAGTGCCTCTTTCATAGCTGCCCCATGCAAGATTGACTGAAAAGAATGAGACAGCAGCAACGTAAAGATAGATTGCTGGTTTGCATTGTTAGGCAAGTCCTACTGAAATTTATGGAAAGTGAACAGTAGTAGGAATGATGATGATGATCATTGTAGTAGTAGTAGCAAATAATAATAATAATAATAATAATAATAATAATAATAATAAATTTTTGTGCTTCATCTAATGTGGTTTGTTCTATATGAAACCTGCAATCTAATCTAACTTCAAACTTCATTGGGTAAATAGCCGTTACCACTCAGATGCTGATATTGGTGAAAGTTAGGATAAAATAGACAATACTGATGCTCCAGAAATGAGTTTCACAGTACAGCAACCTCTAGGATTTCTTTTTTCAGTTCAGCAGGGCTTTAAAAAGAAGGGAAAGAGTCTTCCTCTTCCCTAAAGGCAGACAAAAATAGTCTGTCCATAGTTGCTGCAGGCTTGAAGTGGAAAGCATGCAATCCTCTTAATGCAGTGGTTTGCAAATGGTGGGTCAAAGCCCTTAAGGCAATGATAGATGTCAAGTGGGCGGGTCACTAAACTGAGTAGCGAGTGCCAAGCTTGAAGCAACGCAAGTGGATAAGAGAGTATCTTAAAAGCAGCTTCTGGGATCCTTCAGCTAAAGGATATAAGTGACTGTCAAGTATGTCTGTGCCGGGAGCTGCATTTGTCTGGGTCAGTGGCTGCAATCTAGTAGTGCATTCTGAATTAAGGCAATGTTGGATGGATTGGGTACAGAAGCTTCCAGGCAGGACCTTTCTTTAGGCAGAAAGTCAGCTGAATTGAATTGTGCTGCCATCTGTCTTTCCTTGAGACTAACGTGACAGCTACTCTTACAACAAATGACTGAGACTAACTATATAGGAGTGACTGTGAGGACCATAAACTTCTTGTGTTTACTGTACCTCTAATTCTCAAATACACCATTAAGTTCCGTTAGGGCATCATTCTCTTTCAGTACTTGCATGACCACGCACGCTTTCAGAACCACCAGTGGCAACTTCTTTCTTTTCTTGCTTCTAAGATGGGGGAGGGCTGCTTTCGAGAGATGGCCCTTGAACTGAGGTCCCTGTGAAGTAGTGATTAGCTACTTCCCTTTTGAGTCTCTGGATTAATCTTATGGGTTAATCCTCTTGAAATGAATAATCATTGCAATAGCAGTATGTTGAAGTAACAGGTATAGAAATATAGAACAGCACAGAAACATGCAAAACAGTAGGTACTGCTAGAATGACTCTGCAAAGGAGCATTCTATTCTGGTTGCTTTTATTAGGAACCCACACAAATCACCATCACTGGCTAAATAACTTGTAATTTGCTTCTCTCACCTGCAACGGTGCAGACCTGGAAACTGCTTTAACGTTTGAGAACACCCATGAGGGTTATTTATTTTTCTATTCGTTTTATGAGTCACTTCTTAACAAGTTGTCTCCAAAGCATCTTGCAATATTGAAAAAGTTTGAAACAATAATGAGTGATAAAACCATAATCAACAGTAATGTAAACAACAGGCAGAAGTGAAAATTAATAAGGGAGCAGTCAATAAAAATGCAGATCCAATAGAAGGCAGAAAATAATTTAGCTTTGGTAAAAAGAAAAAAGTCGACACAGTGTGTAAATGATGATAATGTTTAGATTTACAGACCTGTCTAGGGAGTTTGTTCAAAAGATAAGTCGTCACCACTGAAAAAGCCCTCTTTTTATTGCCAAGGTGCCAATTACTCACAGTGTCCTCCTGGAAGGGAAAGACGCTTGAGCATCCATCAGTTAGCACAACAGATGTCAGGCGTCAGGGAATCTGACCCCCCATGCCAGGAATAGATAGACAAGGAAGGCTCTTACCAATGTCTTATATTCAATATTCACAGAGAGAGGCTTAGAAATGCAGCCTCTTGGAGTAATGGCGTTGCTGCGAGTAATCTTCACCCCCCTTCTCTCCTCAATAATCAATAGCACCACCCAGTTTACAGTGGCTGCTTAGGGCCATTTGTCTCTGAGCCTTTGCTCTCCTACTTTCACTGCTCGCTGGGTTCTGGGAGAAGGGGGGTCTGGAATGATTTCTAGCGATACGTGTTAGCCAGCTGCTCTGGCTCTGCCTCCCCCTCCTCTTCTCCCATTATTTACCAACTTTGCCCCTCATCTGCCTCTGAGCTGTAACCTCCCTCAAGCCCCTGTTGTAAATCTAAACTGTCTTCCTCTTCTCTGGAAGGTTCAGGCTGGGGAGGCGGTTTCCACCATTCCTCCTCTGTCCGGTCCCTGACAACAGATCGCCCTGCTCAGGCCTAAACTTTGTACTTGCATGGAATTGTCATAGTCCTGCCAAGCCATGTTTCCCTTTCAAACCAGTTTGTAAACTCACGGGCAGGCAAGCAAGCAGGGTGGGTGGGTGGGATTTAAACAAGCCGTAGGTTTTGAAATCACAAGACATTTCTCCATTTGAATTATTTTTAAATCACAACAATCGTTCCTCCACGTAGAAGATTTAACAAAATTCCAACACTATAAGGATAAATGGCAGGCACGAATACTGTAGTTCTGCTGTATTTTACTGATATTTTCTTCTTAGGAATAATTGTGATAATTCAATAAAATACTATGCATCAAATGTGGTTAATGAGATGAAATCTGTGCTGTGTGACTGATATGAGTTTTGGACCCCCCCCCCAGCATTGTGTAGGTTGCCATGTCACCATGGAGGCAAATGCATCGCTCCAGATGTGTGCAGATGTCGTTCACCATACTCTGGTATAGAGTGTACAAAGAAAATGAAGCAATGAGACAGCCTACTCTGAAGACGAGCTCCTTTTATTTTAATGAATAAACATTGAGAGAAAGGAGAAATTTTGCATTATGCTAGACGATCCATACATAGGATTTTAAAGTCTTGATTATATATTAAATGAAAGCTCTCCTATACTGAAGGGCGTTTTTCTTTTTTTAAAATATGACAATATCAAAGCAGTTGAATGTGTATCAAAATATATGAGTGGGGAGAATTTGGAAGCACGTGGATACCTTATGTTTCATGTTTAGCACATGTAACATTGAATATTTTTTACTGAATAAAGCATTCCCCCCCCCCGCCAAAACCCCCCCTGCTCTTGCTGTTTCATTCACTTCCACAAATAGAATTTGTTTTCCCATATAATGAATATACAGTGGTACCTCGGGTTACATACGCTTCAGGTTACATACGCTTTGGGTCACAGACTCCGCTAATCTAGAAATATTACCTCGGCTTAAGAACTTTGCTTCAGGATGAGAACAGAAATCGTGCGGTGGCGGCAGGAGGCCCCATTAGCTAAAGTGGTGCTTCAGGTTAAGAACAGTTTCAGGTTAAGTACGGACCTCCAGAACGAATTCAGTACTTAACCCGAGGTACCACTGTAATCTTGTTTTTTAAAGCTCTTTGATCTAGCTTGAGAAATCGCTGGGCAGAAGCAAAGCATCAAATGTGGATCTTGGTGGGTCATACGGTTTTATAGACATTGCTTTCCTCTAATAGTGAACTCAATGAGTATCAGGATAGCCTCAGTGGGGACACATGAGAAAAAAGAGGGATGTATCAGAATGGTTTTTGGGGGGTGGACTCCAAGGTTTGCAGAAGTACAAATTTTAAAATCTTAAGGGAATCGCACACAAAGTGCACGCACGCACACACACACACACACACACACACGAGTCCAGTGAATATAACAGGCGCTTTGGATTTATAGCTTCCTGGTCCAGCATGAGAAACCTCTGGGCAGAAGCAGAGTTCTCTGTGTGGATTTTGCAAGCATGTACTCAGGGCTTGGATGCCTATAGCCAGCAGTTGAGTCTGCGCATGTGGTTCTTGAGGAAGCCTGTGCACACACTCTATGGCACTTACGCGGCCCCCGGCACTAAAGTGTGGTCAATTCACCTGCTCTATTAGCTTGTGGTGCAGATAGGAATAACACATGGATGCCCTCCGTCTGGAGCCAACCACACACAGTTATTTCTCTGCTTAGCTAGTCACACACAACGTTTTCTTCTATGCGACTATTGCTGGGTTGGGGACAAGGGCACCAAGGAAAAGTAGCTGCTGTAAATATATTTCCTATTTAGTGCTTTCCTCTGTATATTTAAAAAAAAACCTAGCAGTCACAAGAGAGAAAGCATTTCTCCCCTCCTCCCCCCAATCCCTTTTAGTTGTAAAGTTGAGGCAGTAATCGGAATGTGGATGCGTTCAGAAATCTTATTCTGAAGTTGCCACGGTGCTAGACAAACATTAATTTCATGGTTCTTTAATTAAAAGCATGGTTGCTTTGCCAACGGCAGGCAAATGTTGGCCTCTTGCAAGGTCAGTGAATTTCTGTAGTTTTGGATTTTAAAAAATTGCTTGAAAACAGCTCCATCTGCTGGCTGCTAAGGTTGTTTTTTCTTCCTCCTGCCCAGCTTTGTCCATTCCCCTCTGAGCCTTCAATGTAATTTTACTATTCAGCATCAGTTCTCTTAAGTCTGGTCTGACACAGCAGCACATAGAATCCATGTCTTAAAGGATCAAATCACAAAGGCTGTGTTAACACAGAGCCTACGTCATAGCATTTACATTTGAAATGGACAGAGTCTGTGCCAAAACTAAATTTAGTTAATTGCTGTAGTAGCCCCTTACACTATGTGTGTGTGTGTGTGTGTGTGTGTGTGTGTGTGTGTGTTTTACTATGGTCAGTGGGGTGGATTTTTTTCTCTCTCATTAGGCTGCATTTAAGATTTTGTCTGGGTAGATGACTCACTGCTAGAAACTGCTGTTTGCAGTCTAAATGTGTTTGTGTGTGTTGTAGAGTGAGGTATAATTATATTGATTTAAAGTGGTAGATAAGAACAAAGCCTAATTACATGAATTGGCTTTCGCTGCAAATAGTTGTTTGTGCTCCTTGCTACAAGAGATAGCCTCTTCTGCCTCATTTGCCATAAAAGCTACAAAGCTGTTGGTAAAATAATAATAACAACAACAACGACACAGGGTTACACCATTGCTGCTGGGCCAAAAGACCTGAAATCAGCATCTCTTGTGGCAACAAGTGTCAGTATTGTTGAGCACCTGCTAAAACTCATATAGACATCTTAGAAGGAGAGTGGCTTCTTCTTAGCAAACAACAGGCCTCTAGCGTTGCTCACTACTGAGCTGTTGAAACAGTATTTAAGCATAATATAAGGAGTTTATTTATTTTGAGAAAAATCCTTACTTTTCCAACTTTTAGATTATGGCTCCAGATGAGCACTGTAACCTCTGGTGAGCTGGTTTAGAGTAAAGGGTATGAAAAATATAAGGATAAGACTCTTGCCAAGTGGCACCCAGTGAAAGAAAATGTGCAAGCAACAGCATGATGAAGCCTACAGGTTTTATGTTAGTGCTACCAGTGCTACCAGTCACTCCTGGTCACTCACAGCATTCTTGTTCAGATTTGAGGGGAGGGGCAATGGTGAAGCACAAGGTGCCCTCTCCCCCATTTCACACACAGAAGCCAACTAGACTGGGCAGATGGCTCTTACTTCAGCACCGGCAAGAGGACAGTGTCCTCCTCTTGGCAGTTGGCTAGATTAGGATGCACAAACTGGGCTGTGTAGATACACCTGCTGCTCTGTCCTCCAGCTTCCGGAAGCACTCTGCCTAAGGGTAGGACCAACTTGGGGTCTACTGAGCGCATCTGGCCCAACCTCCCCCGAATAATCTCTCATCAACCCCTTTTGCAGCACAGGGGGAAAGGGTTGCACGATGCAGAGAAAAAAAGAAGTGTTTCTTCTGGAATGCGAGTCCATCCAATGAAACTATTGGTGCTGGAAATTTCAGGACACATAAAAGAAAGTGAAGAATTCGCACAATGCATAGTTAAATCGTAGAATTTGCCCCTGCATGAGGTGGCGGGAGCCACCAATTTGAATGGCTTAAAAAGAAGACCAGACGAATTAGCAGAGAACAAAGCTATCCATAGCTACTAGGCACGTTGACTATGGTCTCCCTCCGCTGTTGGTAGTACAGGTAACGACTGGCACAGCCAAATGGTGCGTTATTGCGCATGTGCACAGAGCACCGAACCCAGAAGTCATGGAAAGGAGCAGGGTGGGCTTACATGTGCTCTACTGATGCACATGAGGGTCCAGAACATAACCCTCACACAAAACAAGAAATGTCTGTATGTCTCTAACTACCAGTTGCTGGGAATCACAAGTGTGGAGAGTGCACCAGCAGGCATTTGTCTGGTTGGCCGTTGTGAGAACAGGATGATAAGACTATATGGCCTGATCTAGGAGAGATCTGCTAATGTTCTTATTATGAACATTGATCTGATTGAGCAGGGCTCATATGTCTTCTTCTTTGGTGATCATTTGTAGCTGAGTAAGATTCTCTTCCATAAACACGGTTTTAACAATGAGTTCGTAAGTGACTGTGGAGCCAATTCTGGATCCACACGTCCCTCCACAGTGGGGTTCAGGGAAAAAGCGAGGCAGACTCTGTTTAAGGCACCTTCTCTAGCCCCTCCCCCTTTTCAGGGTGAGCAGAGTGGATTCTAAAAAGGGCTGCTCAGTCATGGATACAGCTGCTGAGCTGCTCAACTGCCTCGTTCCTTGAGTCAGAACAACTGAATCTGTATCCACCGTCCATGTGCCGGGTCATGACTAGGGGCTTCCAGATTTCACAGTCCTGCCCCCGTTACCATTTGCCGATTGCCTTGGGGCTTTGGGAGTTTGGGTTTGGGATGGGTTTTTGGAAGATGCCTGTGCGTGAATTTGTTTTATGTGTGTAGATCAGTGCACGCTGACCAACGCACAGTCTTCACAGTAAGGCTCTGTTCCAATGGCATGAGTAGTCACTACGACCAGTAGATTCTTATCTGCTGCAGCCTTCATCCGCCTTCACAGCTGTTGTAACATACCGCTTGTTATCATCCTCCAGTTCTGCCGTAGATCATTCTTTGCCTAGCTCCTTCCCTTTGACCTTACCACTTTGGGTGACTGCTGGGAGTACGAGATTCCTGACGACTTTGCTCACAAGGGTCATAGGAACGTGCAAGCCCATTCATCACAACAAGGTGATGATCCAGCGCGGGAGGGCTCATATGTACAGTGGTGTGGATCAGTACTGCTAAGGTAATGTGGTGCCAGGTCCAAGTATAGCACTCATGCTTTGAATCATTACACCTAATCCTTACACCTTTTGAGTTGCAATCTGAAGGCAGAGGCTTATGTGACTCAATTTTAATAGACGAGGAGAAATTCAAAATTACTCTACACTTTGGTAGCTTAACTTGGAACTGAAGTGGGGCTGGAATCATGTCTTTTGTTTCAGACATCCCTTAGGCTTGCACATTTGTCATGTCTTTATATTCTGATGATAGCAACATAGCCTCCAGCCTTCTGCAGTGGCACTCACAGAGTTGCTGTAGTGAGATTTCCAGGCTAAATTCACCTCTGTTGGAAGACTATGTCAAGTTACTACAATGAAATGATAAAAGAAAGTTACAGATGCAAGTCATGCAAACCAATTGTGTCTAGAAATGTGTCTGGAAAATCAGACATATTTTTATGAAGTAATGCTTTAAACCACTTGTCAAGGGAGGGGGACATTTCCAGCATTGTAACATGTCAGATGACAAACACCCTTGATCTTAAACTTTTAAAATTGTAATGTACATGGTTTACAATGTTGTAAATGGATTAAAGGGTTGTTGTTTTTTAATGTGCTGTAAATCCCTGTTCTTTTAGGTGGTCAGATGGAGGTCTTCACCTCTGGCATATTACTTCCTCTGAGTGAAGATGGGGTCAGGCTCTGACTTCATCAGAATCTTGTGCTCAGTGTGAAGCAGATGATTGGTGCCAACCGCAAATCCCACTTGTGTTACTTCTGACTCAACTCAGAGGTAGTCAACCCCAGCAAGACCAGCAGTTACCACCCAATTTAAAAGGTGCTGAATATAAGTGTCCCTTTCTATTATTATTATTATTATTATTATTATTATTATTATTATTATACCACCCTATATCTGGAGGTTCACAGAATAAAATCAGAATATAAAACCACAAGCTACATAATCAAAATAAAAACAACCACCCAATAAC